CCCTTCCAAGCGCGGCGTCGGTTGCCAGTTCGGGCCTGACGTCACCGACGAGTTCGTGCGCACCAACCGGCTTGACTATGTGGTGCGCTCGCACGAGGTGAAGGCCACCGGGTACGAGGTGGCGCACGGCGGCAAGTGCATCACCGTCTTCTCAGCGCCAAACTACTGGTGAGCCCTGGCCCAGCCACTGGAGGGCTGGTCTGCTCTGACGGGGGGGGGGGGGCTTCGCGTGATGTGGGCCGTGCTTTGCGCCTTAAACTGAGCGGTGTGAGAGGCACGGAGAGAAACTCACGTTGTGGTTTGTGGCCATTTTTCCATGGGTGTAATAGTTGGATTTTAGGTATTTGTAATCTGGGCCAAAGTAATTTTTGTCCGCATGTAGCGTCCGCGAAGGCGGTCGGTTGTCTGCACAAATCTCTGAATGCTGAAGAGTTCATTGCCAGACAACGTTACTCTGACCACTGCATATATGTAATAAGTTTAAACAGCCCCATTCTGACCTTTCAGTGTAAAACCTAGTTAGGGTTAGTTGAAGACCAGCAATTTGAATGTTCGAACTGAAACTATTCTCACGTTATGATAAGCAGCTGAGGCGTAATTTGTTTCATTACCACAGGGTGTGGGTTCCGTATTTCTCTCGAGGGTGTGTCGCGTTTTGAGATAATTACCAGAGCGTCGCGTTCCCTTCGTTGATGTAGCCTGCGCTGTGCTTGCGTGACTGGCAACGTCTCGTTTCAGTGACACGATGAACAATAAGGGAGCGTTCATCACCATGACAGGAGGGGACATGACGCCCAAATACACTACTTACGAGGCTGTGGTAAGAACGTGTGCTATGCTAGAATTGGACGATTACGAGTAGCGTTACTTGTCAGCGTAGCATTGGTGGAAGTGTGTGCTCGTCGCCCCTGATGTGAGCAATGAGGGCCCTGAGCTCTTTTTTCGGTGTTATGAGGTCAGAGTTTCGATGCCAACAGTTTCCGACGTCCAGTATACCGGGAGGTGCTGTTAAACGACGTTAGCAGGCAAACCTTTTCAATAGAGCGAATGTGAGCATGGTCGCGAACCAATACTGTAACGAATGTTCGCTTTATAACGCCGCTAAACCAGTACCTCCTGGGATAACAATCAACACCTGTCACCATAGGACCCCTGAGCTCACAAGACATAGGCTCTGAAGGGGATGTCAAAAATTTTCTCAATTTTCTTGTGGTTTGTTATATTTTATATACCAGGATAGAACTGCTTGAAGATCATCTACCCCATGTTTCTTCTTGACTGCCTCTTTTTACCTCGCTATCTCTTTGCGGTTGCGAACGATAACGATCGTCGTTGTTTTCTTTCGTTGTAAATGTGCTGGCTGGTTGAGACCGGCCATCTAAGCGTGTCCAACCCGGCGGCCGCCGAGACCGCCCTCCCTCCGGAGAAGTCAGTCCTCCCCCCCCCCCCCCCCCCCCTGCTGCTGCCCCGCTGAGTCGCCCCTCTGCCGCAGCCGCACCCGAACGTGAAGCCGATGGCCTACGCCAACTCCCTGATGAGCATGTTCGTCTAACGTCGGCGGCTCTAGTCGGAGCGCGGTGCCGCCGCAGGACGCTACGCCGCGGGCGGCGCTCGAGGGGACCAAGCGGCGCGGCCGGTCGGGGCGCCGCGCCGCCCCGCGCCGCGCCGCGCCCCGCCGCCGGTGGACGCCGGCCCCGGCCGCGGGCGCGCCCTCCGTCGATGTGTTGGTCGGCTGTCGCGCCGCCGCCGCCGCCGCCGCCGCCGCCGCCCGCGCGCTGACGTACGCCGTGCGGGACGCGCTCGTTTAGTGTGGCGCGCGCGCGGCGCCGACGAGCCGTGTTTACGCCGGTGAGCTGGAGTCGCGCCGCTCTGGTGGGCGTGTGCTCCGATGCGCCGGTGGTTTGAGCGGTGACGTCACGCCCCCCGGTAGTCCGATCCACCCGGAACATCCTCACATAGTCAGCTGGAGACTGCCCGGCTCGCAGGGCGGTTGCAGTCATTGTCTTTAGGGATATGGCAATGCTGCAGCGCCTTTGTACAAGTGAGTAGTGAACCATATTTTGTGGGCACACTGCGTTGCGGGCAGTCGTTCAGCGCCGTCGACTTCAGCTGTCCGTGGATATGAACTGCGGTCAAAGTCTGTACCACTAGTGTCTGTCGACCTCGCGAGGTGACAGCACCATCGATCCACCATTGCCTCATGCTCGGCGCGTTGCCTGTAGCGCCGCTGGGTCTCACCACTGACCGTCCTCTCTCCGGGGCCAGCCCCGGCTCTGTCTGTGCCGACCCCGCGCTCTCTCTAGACGCCGACCCTCTACCCGTCCAGTGACCCACCCGACCCGCCCCTCACGTCGAGCGCTGCCGGCGGCCCCTGGCGGAGCTGCCTCGTCCAAACGTGACCGTGTTGTGTACCGCGCTCGTACCGCAGCAATAAACGGGCGGGCGTGACCAGCGTCGGTGAGTGAGCACGGCCCCAGCTGACGAGCGGCGGCTCGTACCCCGCTGCACCAGTGCGGGGAGCAGAGATTGCCGGCCGGCCGGCGGTCGGCCGCCCGCGACAGGAGCGTTGCGGCGCGGCGGCCTTGAGGTGCCTCTTCTGAACGGAAATTGATGTCCAGTGAACGACAACCTCATGACCGTGCGTGGAGGGGCAGCGTTCAAGTCTGGAGATGCCCTATTTCGGATGTGATTGAGCCATTGGTTTATCACTGACACGTCTCAGCGCTGGTCTATTTGCAGTCATATCTTAACGGAAGAGTTGCAGTGAGGTGGAGGTAATGCAAAGCCAACGCAACTCGTGAGCGCAGGGGAGGGGGCGTTCGAGGGGCCAAAAGGGCCTTCAGCATGTTAAAAAAGAACGTGTGTCTAGACTCTGGGTCATGAGGAGGGTGAAGCTGAGTGGTGTTGGCTGCTGGACGACAGGGCCGGCCATTTAACAGTCAGAAAGTCATCAGTAGCAGGGGGGCCCTTGATCGGCCAGGCGAACTCTTGAGCAGCCAAAATGCCCATAGCGTGTACCCACCCAACGTAACAAACGCTTGACGGTCTAGAAAAAGCTACCAACGGTTTAAAAATACCCTGATGAAGTAGGTCTGCGCATACCTGACATGCAGACTTGGTGGCCTTACGTGACTGTGCTGACGGACGTCCAATGCTTTACTTGCAACCAGCTTGCAGGCATGCTTATCCAGATCCACCATTACGTGGATTCTCAGACGGGAGCCTAAAGTTACGTAGACCGACGTGCTGTTCTTTTTGGACTGTGCAGTTCTTTTTGGATCGCACCCTTTTCGAGATAATGGTCACCGGACTGAACGATGTCAAGGTTACCTAATGACGAACTGATGCTGATACTTGCCTTATTTGATCGTCACGTTTTTCACAATAACCCTATGCTACACGGGCTGCGTATGGTGATTTCCTCGACAACATCATGTCGAAGGCGCTTCGCGTTGAGAACAGGCAAAACATACATGCTGGTGGCTTATTATCGACGCGTGATGCAACGCTTCGAGGTGCATCCTTATATCACTTTCACACGGGTGAAGTAACATTCATAGTCCTGCAAATATAAAACGGGTATAGATTCACTAATTTCCCACGTGGACCATATTTTACCCACCAGACGACCAGCGTCGTTTACGCAGCCATATCTGCTGACCATGCCAACCACCAGTCACAAGGTTTCCCAGCCATCGTATGGCCGCTGGAACAGCTGACTTGTTGCCATCTGCTCAGCTGAATGTGGTCCTTCGATCCGTCAACATGTAGCTCCATCCACAGGCATGCGACTGGCCTTCCGTGTGACCGGCCTTCTCGTCCTGTTCGCGGTCAACGCGCGCGGTCCGCGGCGTGGGCAAGACAGGCGGCAATAATTCTACTGCGCGCAAGGTTCGAGATGCCTTCGCTCTTCCATATGCTCAGCATACCTGAGTAAACATCTGTTTTGGGAGTGGGTTCGTACAGCACCCTCTAAGCATCGGGATGCTACTAACTATACCTAACGGTTAGACAAATGCCATAATGCAGGACTAGGCTACATCCGTGCTACTTCGCTACCCTATCATGGTTATCATGTTATCGTATTTGTCAACTGTTAACCCATTTGAGCATGTGCGTTTGAAGTGATTGGGCCCGTAACAAGTTTAAAAAAATAATAAATTCATGGAAAGTCGCAGAGTTCTTCCGACTCCGCTCGTAGATTTCTGTTTACCAGGCGTCGTTCTCTACGTTACGTCAATGCCGCAGCATAGGTTTATCTTGAGTCTAACAGGAGATGATCGTCACATAGTGACATGAGATTTTTAATATTCTTAAATAGACAGGCAGTTTTGTTCCTATCATGGTTGCGAGCTCAGCTGAGGAGAAAGGTGTAAAAGGAGCACGTCTGCGTTGTTCGACATTTCCAGTGGTGAAAATCAAAATTTGGACTCGTAATTCACGCCTTAACCAAGAGAAAGGCAATTTTACAACTTTTTTGGTAGGCCCAATCTCTTTCACCAAGCAATGAATGGTGGCATGAGGGCCAGATGGCCCGAATTCCCTACTGGACGGCTTGACGTAACTACGCGCGCCGAAGCGCCCCAGCGACCGCATAACGCCCGCTTCAGTCGGCTTTGTGGAGCGAGTCTCGTCGCTCCAGCTGCTTGCCTGGGGCGAGGTGTTCGTCACCGCTGTGGCGAGGGCTCTATGGCGGGATGCCTGCCTGCTCAGCCGCCAGGACACTGTCGACACTACACTGCGGCGATGGTGTGCTCCTCCAGCGTTGCCGGCTCAGCCGCCAGGACACTGTCGGCACTACACTGCGGCGATGGTGTGCTCCTCCAGCGTTGCCGGCTCAGCCGCCAGGACACTGTCGGCACTACACTGCGGCGATGGTGTGCTCCTCCAGCGTTGCCGGCTCAGCCGCCAGGACACTGTCGGCACTACACTGCGGCGATGGTGTGCTCCTCCAGCGTTGCCGGCTCAGCCGCCAGGACACTGTCGGCACTACACTGCGGCGATGGTGTGCTCCTCCAGCGTTGCCGGCTCAGCCGCCAGGACACTGTTGGCACTACAATGTGGCGATGGCGTGCTCCTCCAGCGTTGCCGGCTCAGCCGCCAGGACACTGTTGGCACTACACTGCGGCGATGGTGTGCTCCTCCAGCGTTGCCGGCTCAGCCGCCAGGACACTGTCGGCACTACACTGTGGCGATGGTGTGCTCCTCCAGCGTTGCCGGCTCAGCCGCCAGGACACTGTTGGCACTACACTGTGGCGATGGCGTGCTCCTCCAGCATTGCCGCTAGCTCGTGCGGGTCCTCCATCGGGTCAGCATTTTGCTGGGTCTTCTTAGCTGTGGAGGAGTCGCCGCATTGATAAAGTAAGCACACTGCTGTGAGGGAGATATATAGCCACGACAGGCACGAGTGAGCATGAAGTAGGTCAGTTGGGATGCATTTGCCTGCTGTACTGCATATGGAATGGTTGGTGGCAGTTTTACGACTTACTGGCGTTACAAATGATCAAAACATGCTGTTAGGCGTACTCGTGTGAAAAGGACAGGCGGCATGAAACACGCACGGGCCCGAGCAAGTCTGGCCCGAACAAAAGACAGCCAAACAAGCTGTACCATCCCTGCCACGATCTGCAGGAGTGGCGAGCACCGTTACCAGGGGAGGGGGCGCCAGGAACTGACCACGTTGGCGCTCCTCTCGTTGGGAGATCCTCTGACGGAGGCAGCCGTAGTAGACGATGGCGTAGAGCGCGCCGGCCACGCCGCTGCCGATACCCATGGTCCGGAAGGTGAAGGCCGGTCCGGACAGCGCCATCAGGTAGCCGCCGATGAAGCTGCCGACGCCGCGGCCTGGCGGCACGAGGAGGTCGTGGCTGCTGAGTGTCGCATGCTCTCAGCCCATGTGAAGGTTCTCTAGCACCATGTGACAGCATAGTCGTGCGAGACCACGGACAGGTTGACTACATGTCGAGGTTGCGAGCAGGCCGGCCGCGAAGCGTAATGTGTCAGATCTCGCAGCGCCAGGATACTCGAGGCGAGGTGTGTGTGCCATACCGTCACACCAGCTGGCGGCGGCGACCGGCCCAACCCGGCACATGGTATGGTGCACCTGGCGGCGGCGACCGGCCAAACCCGGCACATGACACGGTGCAGCTGGCGGCGGCGACCGGCCAAACCCGGCACGTGGTATGGTGCAGCTGGGGCGTTCGTCACTGCTCGAAGTCGACGACGTGGCTGCCGAGTCGTCACCGGGACACATTAGCCCCCCCCCCCCCCCCCAGCTGGCTGACACTAGGCCAGGGTGACCGCCGGCGGTTAAGCGTGCGTGAGTCAGTGTTGTTCCAGACGTGCGTGCTTCGGCACCTCAGTACCGCGAGCTTTCCTTTTGTCCTCGCTCACGCGGTCGGCCCGTTAAGTCAGGTCAAGTCGGTCGGTCAAGTCAGGGTACGTTCAAGAGGAAGGGCTAGAGAACACCGTCTTAAAGATCCCGCGATCCATGGCCGAGTAGCAGTCTTAAGAGTGACGCCAAGAGAGTGACGTCGCCACGAGTGACGTTGTCGCGAGTGATGTCATCACGCGACGAGTCCTCAGATTCCTGCTGTCATCTCCCGCCATCTTAGAAACCGTGTCCCGCTCGTTCAACACCCAATCTGAAGAAGTCCCTGTCTTTCCCGCGTATTTATTATGTTTCCTATGGTCCCCCGTGACCCCCATACGAGTTTGTAGACGCGGAGGGACCGCCAATGAATATACATGTTCGCAAATACGCCAAGCTGGTCGCTATGCTACCTGCAAGACAAAGCCCCTCTCGATCGAAGCTCATAGATACATCATTCCTTTCCTGGCGGGGCGAAGTCCGAGGGAGTAAAAAAGAAAGGCTTGATGAGAAGCCCTGGTGCTGCTGGGGACGTACCATTAGAATGTCGCCATCCATCGCCGGTTGAAGCAAAAGCCAACGGAGGACTCTGAGTTTGTCATGCTGGGCATGAGTCGGCATGACACACTCAGATCAACAGGTCAACGATCATTTGCATCCTGGGAACATCCCGACAAACGCCGTACCTGTACTTCTCTCCAAGGGTCGCAGTTTTTCACGACGCGACATGCTGCCATTGGGTACTGGTAGCCACCTTTGAAGAGGAAGTTTAAACCCGGGGAACATTTTCGTGCCGAGATCACGACAAAGGTTCCGGTCCCTTAGAGCTTCGATCAGCCTTATAAACACAAGTGGTGGATGCTGATGCTGTTGAACACTCGAACTCATCTGGTAACGGTGACGGGGCCTGCCGTCACTCATATCAGGAGGACTGGCAGATAGCAGGAGGACTCTCTCTTATAGCAGGAGGACTCGCAGATGGGATCAAGCTTTCATAATGCCCTCCAGCCCACTGGTTTATGATCACAAGCTGACGGTGCATGAGATGTTGGAAGCATTCATCACATACGAGGCATATGAGCTCCTGGTCTCTCAGATGCCTTGGCGCTGTGAATGTCTCCGCGTTCTCAAGTATAACACGTGGTCGAAAGGAACGCATGAGAACACATATTTAGTGAAGCCCTTGGGATGCGATGAAGCATTTGGTCCACACGTCCTGGGATATCACGATGAGCTCAGCATGCTCAGGCTACGTACCAAAGCTGTAGTGCAGGGCTCCAGCCAGTCCGGTGAGTGTAGCCAGCAGCCCAGGCGGCGCCAGTTGTCCAGCGTAGGTGGCAGCACTATTCCACATCAGGTGAGTGGTGACCACCTCCAGCAGCTCGAACGGGAAGCACAGCCAGGGATTTCTGACAGGAAACAAGTTGTGACGAGGTTAAACGCGTGTGAAACAGCTGACAGAGGATTTTTCTCCTTAAAAGATGGCATACGTGGGTGTGGAGGCATTGGCATCTCGACCGCGTACGGAAAGCCGCGGGTTCGACGCCGACTCCTTCCAAGAGTTTAGTCAGCCTGCGGCAATCGGCGTGAAAGGCGATACCGTTCGCCTCTCTCATAAAGCTGACGTCACGCCTCTCCTAGTCTGCCACACTTTTGCCGACACAATTCTCAGTTGTCTCCCCGTCAACATTGGCTATTCCTATTTTGCTGTAGCGCTAGTCTCGGGCGCAAAATGGCCGCTGCTGTCAACGCGCCCCTAAGCCCAGATAACTGGCTGACGCCGGACTCCTGAAATTTGGACCCGTTTTTTGACGCGCGTGCTTCATATCTTTCTTGTGATTTAGCAAATGTACGTCTCGCATATCCCTCAAATGGGCAGGCAAAATAGTGGCGACAGGCGTTTTCCACCTGCGTCGCTGCGCGACGACGCGACACCGCTGGCATCAGTGACGTCACGGGTGGCACCACTGACGTCACGGATGGCGCCAGTGATGTCAGGATGGTGCCAGTGGCGCCATGGTGACGCCACTCGTGACGCCATGCGGACTTGTGTCTCAATGTGAGGTAGATCTAAGTTAATATTTATAAGCTGTTTACCACCGATGGACCACTCCGACACACTGCTCTCGCAACGCCGTTCTCCGCACCCGTGACCTCCAAAAGATATTTAGCCGTGGTCGTTGCTTGCTTTGCTGCGCGTAGGGCCAGCGTCGTGGCATTGATAGGACGCCGCCTCCAGCCACAAACATTCCTTCTCGCCTTGTGACGTGGTGTGTCCCTCGCAGTGCATTGAGTCTGCCAGGATCTGAATGAATTAGCATTTCCCTGCTTTGAGGAGCTAAACATATCTCCCCTCGAGCTTTGCAGCATGTTTTCGATCACCTCGGCTCTGCAGACTTGCTTCTCATGCATATCGATCTGCATGCATGACGCGTGTACGGGCTTATCCGGGCCCTTCTCCCGTCTGCCGTCGGTGTCACTGTCCTGGCCTGGCCGTCCCCCCCCCCCTGGCTGACTGAGGACTGGCCGCATGACTGCTTTGCTGCACGTTTACGGATCAGTATCACTACTTATCGGTGTGTAAAGCATGTATATTGATACCTGCTGCACCATTTATTTTCTCGTGAATTCTCGTTACACCATGCCACATCAGAAGCTTAGACCAATTCGGCCTTAGGTATGAATGGGTCTACCAGGCACTCATTTGCCTCTCATTCAACGAAGCCCACGTAATCTTCTTTTGTACATAGACAGAGGATTAGCTAGAGGCTTGCCAAAGGGGGGGGGGGGCAGGGCACAGGGTTGACAAAGACCTCCCTGACGATTAACGGCCTTTTGCCCCCAAATATCCGGATGTAGCCCACTTGTTCATCAGGTGCACGGTTTTCTTCGTTTAATTATTATTTTACCTGGCGACCAGAGCGGAAATAAAAACCAAAAGGCACCGCGAGACCAATTCTGCATGTGCGTTTTAAGGTCAATAACTTGCAGAAATCAGACGTTCAACGTTTGCATGAAATAAAGCAGCGGCTAACTTCACTATACAATGGTTCCAGTGGGTGCTTTCTAAACCGAAAAAAAATGGAGAAAATTTGCAAATTTGTTTGGGTGGACGTAGGTATGGAGGACTCCCTGAACGTAGATTGTAAGAAATAACGCCGGATATTTCGAGCTGTGCGCTCATCCTCAACAGTCAGAAAGGGGATGGGCTCATGAGGATAAGCACAGCCCGAAATATTGAGCACCGTTAACATAATCGGTATTAAGCACTACGACGCTGTTTAACCAGCGCATTTCCTTGTGCCGTTTACTTTAAACAAGAAACTCCTACCCCATAACGTTAATTAACGTTGGATATTTTGTGTTTCCCAGACTCTTTCTGGTCCTGTTCTGTTTTGCTGACACGTCGGCAGCACATGCCTATTTACGCATGTTACTTCTGTGTTTAATGTGTATTTATCATGCCTGCCACTTCGGTACTCACAGCAGTAGTTGCTTGGGAGCAACGCATAACAATTTTCTGGGTAAGTAGCTTTGCAGCGCATCTTTTCTAAGCGTGACGTTTATAGATGAGATAGAGAGAGAGAGAGAAGAGAGAGAGAGAGAGAGAGGAGAGAGAGAGAGAGAGAGAGAGATGAGAGAGAGAGAGAGAGAGAGAGATACGTATATATATATATATATATATATATATATATATATATATATATATATATATGAATAAATACGCCACTGGCATTACACCGGCACATTTTATGTGGTAGAACGCACAGTTATACATTTTTGTAATTTATTGGGGGGGGGGCGAACCGAAGGCCTAACACCTTACCCCCACCTTATTTTTTCTCACCGGATTTAGCCCACTTTGCTTAAATTAAACGCAATATACGTGTTAATGTTTGGATAATTTATAGAAGTCTTCAATTCAAGCAGTATAGAAGTCATGCAGGGCTGGATCCAGGGGGTAGGCGCTGGACGCACGCGCCTCTTCTGATCGGCACGTAAAGCGCCCCTTTAGAGGCCACCTTAGGGCGCTGATGGCGCTCTTCTGTGACGGTCATGGGAGGCAGCATGCATTTTGGTTGTGAGGCACGGGGACGGGGTTAGCCAGAAGGACTTAGGTCATACCCATATTCCAGAGCTTTTCACTTTAAGCTCACAAATCATTGCGTGTCTTATGGCGCTAGGTATGTGAAGTTTATTGCATTGTTTATCCGTTCAGCTGTTACGATCTTCACCTTGTGGTGAGAGCAGCCATGACTTTTTGCTATGAGAATGGTACGAGACGTCACTACGCAGAAAAATTAAAGAAGATAATCTTTGTTTATGGCCATCTATTACCCCCGTTTTTTGTAGCATTCCAGTACAAAAAGTGGGGGGGGGGGCAGGCCAGCATTGGGAAGGGGGGCAACTCGACATCGGGGGGAGGGGCAAGGCCCTCACAGAAGAATACAAATCGTCACCCGTGGTAGAAGGTCAGATGGTAAAGCCCACCGTGTACGTTTCGCGGCAATTGATGCAATCTGTGCTGTATGTCAGGCTAAGAAATGTGTACATGTTGACAGACGGATAGCCAGACAGACATAACCGTAGCAAACAAATTAGGTGCAAATGGAATTCCCTTGCACTGACGACGAACTGTGCAAAGAGATTTATGCCGCCCCGTGATTGAGGGGTATGCACGGCCTTAGGGTAGCGTGAGCCAGTGGTACTAGTTTAGAGTCAACGCTTGTGTAGTCAGCGGTAGACACCTCAACGTGTCCAGCTGGGACCAGAATTTGCCAAATACGTGCTAGTGGACCGGAAGGAAAATGCGCGAGGCAGTGTAGTACATAAAATATCTTGTAACACCTGCCAAGGGATATTTTATGTACAAAAAACAGCGCGTAGCATTTGTAACGGGGGCGTCACTCGATATACTTTCCGGGGGGAGCCTCTCCCAATGCAGCTTCAGCCCCCCCCCCCCCCTCTAACACTTTCATCCGCTGCCTCAATGCATGTGAGCAGAGGGAATGCTTGAATAGATAAATGGAGAACGGTTATCTCGACTATTAGTATACTTGGTAAAAGGTAACTACATACATTATTAGCATCATGTTTCATGTACCAAATAGTATCCTGTAAGTACCTTGTGTTATATTATGCAACTCCTTATTATGTTAGGCCAGTCTGTATATGTTTGACAAGATTTTTTCTGAAATGATAACGCCTGGATTGGGATAAAAAACAATTGGTCACCATATACGGTGGCTTTTAAAAGTAACAGGGTAGTTCAGATGAAAAATAACGCATGTTTACCCAACATGGCAAGCCTATTTGTCCTATAATCGTGGCTATGGTGATTGCACAACACGATTGCCGACCGTGGCAGTCGTCAGAAACCGCCTACCAAATTTCACTAAAGATTTTTTCCGTGAATGACATCCTATTCTAAGCTTTTCACGACAAGGCGGCCCACATTTACTTGAAAGGGAACTCACTCCTTCGCATGAAAACAATTTCGAATCACGCAACCTGAAGGAATGTATTCTATGCAGCCTTAAATTCAAGCGGCCGAAATCCGGGAAGAAATCAGGTTTGGGGGCAGGTTTGGTCAATCCATACGGCTGAGCCCCCTAAAAACCGACCTCAGAAAGTGGTGCCTCTGATATGTGGCCCCTTTCATTAACTCCTTGGAGACGTACATTAAGGTAAAGCATACTCACCGCCAGGGGAGCACACGATAGACCAACACGCAACAGAAGAGCGTAGTGCAACAAATATCAACTTTTAAAAAGTTGAGCGGCTGCCGATGAACGCGCGGGTCTCAAGGCCTTGGAGCCGCTACACGTTCGTTGTCATCGTCCAAGGCTGAACGCACAAACCTAATCATGGAACCTAGTGTGGACACAATTTGCTATGTTTTAACACGCGCTCGGTTGGGTGTCAAATCAACCCCCGAAGGTTTTTCCAGAATGATTTCCGAACGGCGCGGCGTGGCCACACCAAGTTTTAAACTGCAGACAATTGACTAGCTTTAATTGAAGGCTGTAGACAATTGAATAGCGACTGGTTTGGTATAACAAATTGAGATGTACCTCATGACGTCGCTGACCTATGGCGCTTCAGTCAGGTCATGGTTTCAGCGAGGTCAGCTTTTAGCGATTTGTTCAATCTGATGCAACAACGAGGTGTTTGATGTAGTCATACGTCTCTGAGATGCTTTCTGAGGCAGCACAAACACTGAATGAGCAAATTACGTTGGCCTTAAGTCAGGTATGAAGTTCAGACCAAGGTCAAACCCAACCTGTTTTATTACTCCAGGGTTCGCTGAATGGGATAGTTTCTGGTGCTTATTTCGAATTTATCGATTGCAGGAACACCATTATACATTTTCCATGGGCTTTTTAGAGGTCAGAATAGGTCATTGACCTAAAATGACCCGGGTCAACATTTTGTTTTTGGAAACATACTGCCTAGCTTAATTTTTGTCGTGTATTCAAATGCAAAATTCAGAGCAGTTTTCTATGACTTTGGTCCCCATGACCCTTAATAGGTCAAGCGAGGTCACTGACTTTAAATGAGCATGCGACCTTTCGCTTTGAAACAGCTACTTATGTTCTGGGAGTGCTTTAGTGGTCAACCTGGATTCTGACTTCGTTTGACCTTATTCGACGCAAAGGTCATGACCTAGGAACCTCAAACTTTGACCTAATTGAGGTCACGTTTAGGTCAACACACCCTGTAAATTTGGTGTCTCTAGCTTTTTTAGTCCCCGAAATCTCCGGGGGTCATATTGACCCCCCCCCCCCCACACCCTCACCCAAGTGAATGGTATCCAGTCGGCCACACGGGTGCGTGTTAAGTTAAGACAGCACTAATAGCCTTATTCTTTGTAGAAAACTCAGTAGAATGGAAAGACAGATGCATTTATATCTTGGATGCATTCCTTTATCGAAACGAATATCAAAATAATTCGTTTCAATGAAACCACGTAGCCAAAGTATCAATATTTCTGTCTTCCCATTCTCCTGGTTACCCTACGAGGAATAAGGCTACTAGCACTGTCTTATCTATATGCATAATTTTCTTCGCAATGCACTTAGTAATGCAATGCACTACGTAAGTCTCAACTTGCTTTATTGTTAAGGTCGTCCAAATGTACACAGTGGCACCCACCAACTGAATACGCCGTTCAACGCCCGCTGGCTTTCAAAACTAATTGTATTGAACAGCACGTCTTCGCAAGGCTGACCCGAACGCAGGCATACTGCTGTGTAACCAACACTCTTATCTCTCAGTCCTCTTACGAGCAGGTGCATCAGTTAGCTTTATCAGACGTGTTTGTGGCACAGAGCCACCACGAAACAGCAAAAAGCTGCGCTTCTTAAAAGTCACGAGGTCACTGGGTGCGCCAGAGTCACCTCACAGTTAGAGATACCCAACACACCGCAATCTGCACAACGGTGTACCGACAGTTCAGTTTTTGTAAACATGGCCAGGCTTGAAAAGTAGGTGGTGCCTGTGGTACGTATCACCGTAGAAGGATGGCAATTACAAAGGTGCTTTAATTTCACCACCATACAGTAAACTATCAAAAGGACTCCCTAAAAATGAACACAGGTAGGAAACGTCTCGCTTATCTGATGGGACTGGCGCTGCCTAAAATAAGATGCGCCGTGCTTCGTCATTGTTTTTGCGTTGTCGGCTTTCAATTCCCGGTTCATTTGTCACCCGGCGGTAGCTGTCTTGTCACACGCCACCCACCGGCCGTCCGGGTTTGTGCTGGTTTGAGCACGCCGGCGCGACCTCGGCACTACACCTATCCGCGTCATCCCCGCCCAATCGATCCATCATCCGTCCGTCGGGCGACTGTGCCACGGCTGTCGAGCTGTTGCCTCCCGCCACGGCGAGCTGCCTTCTGCCACGGCCAGCTGCCTGCTGCCACGGCCAGCTGCCTGCCGCTACGGCCAGCTCCCTCCCGCCACGGCAGGCTGCCTTCCGACACGGCCAGCTGCCTGCCGCCACGGCCAGCTCCCTCCCGCCACGGCAGGCTGCCTCCCGCCACGGCGAGCTGCCTCCTGCCACGGCCAGCTGCCTGCCGCCACGGTTAGCTGCCGCTCACCACGGTCAGCTGCCTCCCGCCTCAGTCAGCTGCTTCCCACCACGGTCACCTGTCTCCCGTCAGTCAGCTGCCTCCCACCACGGCCAGCTGCCTTCCGCTACGGCCAGCTCCCTCCCGCCACGGCAGGCTGCCTTCCGACACGGCCAGCTGTCTCCCGCCACGGCCAGCTGCCTTCCGCCACGGCCAGCTCTATATCTCCGCAGTGAGCTCCCATCCAGCGCGGGGCGGATGATCTTGATCGTCACCATCCGGCACTGATTTACCCGAGGCCGCAGTTCGGTCACATTCACTCCGCCGTCGATCCGCTACGGCGTGTTGCCAGAGCCCCTGACGGCAGGCAGTCCGGCCGCTGGGTCGACCCGCGCGGTGGGGAGAGGACAGCGGGGAGGTGCGACGCCTGGAGGTGGCCTCGGAGGGCGGGCCACTGGCGTTGCTGGCCGCTTGATGACAACTTAAGCAGATTCTGGTATGATACTCATATGTAATTGCACTTCTGCAACAGCATAGGGATGTGAACACGAGTGATTGGCAGAGCTATTTACATTGGAGCTGTTAACTTTTAGTGCATTTCTGATTTCATTTTGTGAGCTTGTTCGCATGTGAAAATAAACCGTCTTTTCAAAAAATTACGTATGGATGTGACAGCGTGTTTTACCTAGCTGGCACCAAAAGTGTATCCTCATGAAATGCACCAAGATGTTCCAAAAATAAAGATCTTTATAAGGTGGGATATTTACAGTGTTTGATCATTCAGAACAAAGGAAATGTGCAGTGAGGGCAAATACTTACATTGATGTTTTAGACAACATTGCTTTTATGACCCATAAAGTAAGAATACGCGTATTGGCGGCTCTATGTCGCGTCGCCCGTATACCCGCTGCGCATAACGTGAGCTTCAAGCAGCAAGAGCCGTGACTGAAGACGATGCTGTAGTCAGGTTTCCGAGGGAAACAACTGCAGCTCTAATGGCCGCGTTCTCCACTTGTCCTGTTTGGAAGCTACAGCGGTGAGGCGAAAAGCAGTAGGTGACTTGGCGCAGAGTTGATCCAATGATATGCAGTCTGGACTATGCAGATGCATCGGTGAATTACTCAGTTTCATGAAACGTAATGCCTGTGATTATAATCTTAATGCGCTAACCCAGCACTACAATATTTTATCAATGAACACCAAGACGTCACACCGCAGCAAAACTCATTCTGCAAACCCTCAGATATAATGTTCATTCAGCCCGCATGCAATGAGACCGCTTCTTTCAAAATATTAGCAGTCAATGTATCACCATCGCCGCCATCTTGCAGCGCTGCCATGCAGTGTTTTTACCGTGATCCAGAGCAGACCGCTCGGGGGGGGGGGGGAGGGGGGGGGGGGGCTCGCCGCCCGGCCAGGGTCACCTCAATACTTTACATACCCTCTGCCCGCGGAGAGATACCCACGCGTATCGCGCACAGTTATTTGCCTGCGCTATCGCTGCGAAGGTTACCAAATTACCTTAGTGGTCTGTTTTTGCCTAGGCTCGTGTTGCCCAACGCTGTTGCCTCCCGCTCGCTCTCGGTGTTTGTCGCAGCTAATTACACGGCCGGGAACGGAACTAGGCTAACAAAGTCCTCTGCGTCAGATTATTCTACCCGCGAATTCAGTGCGAATGAGACAGGTGAGTCCATTCATCGGCGGGATTTCCGGAGCAGCTCACAAACCATGAAGGAGCTGTCTTCGCCATCACCACAGCGACGTAGAGTAAAATGGGGACACTCGTCGCGCGCCAAATTTTAAGTTGTGGAGACGGCTTATCAGGGGAGGCAAGCTTTTACCTCTGCAGCATCAAAGCCAGCTTATGTCCTGAACAGGCGTCTACTTCATTTTCACCATTGTTTCATCTAATCGCTTTTGAAACTATTCAGACGTCGCAATGTCGGCATTTGGGGGGAGGTCATCGTGCCAGGGGAGAAGTGGCCGATCACCGCACCACAACTGAGGGAGACATTAATCACTATAAATGAGCCAGCATGCTTGGGTCGAGGATGAGAATTACCACCGGTGCCCATCCCGGTTCCGTTTTCTCACGAGGACGCTTGAAGCAATAACGGCATATCCGGACTCGCAGTCACGCATATAAACCAACTTCGCTACAACGGAATGCAAGAAGGCGACAAGCCAGCAGTGGGCGTGGAAAAAAAGAATACCGTATATAGCAATCTCGCTACGGAACTCGAGATGAAATAAACGACTCGTTTTCAGTTGACGCTCTTCCGCGGAGCAGTACAGGCTGTCAGAGCAGTAGGTGAAGTTGCACAAGGCTGCTCACTTCAGCCGCAGCCCGGGGTCGGTCTCTTGACCTGGCGTGGTGACGCATTTGGGGTGTTCTTTTCAGAGAAAGCCCGTGCACCTTGTGCTGACCCGGCCTCGGCCACCCCCTCCCCCCTCCCCCCCCCCCCCCCCTGAAGTCCAGCCAGGGCAAGTGAAACATCCAGCGGGCGCGATCTCTCTATTAAGCACTTGCATAAACATCGTGAGAGTGCGTAAACTGAGGGAGATTGCGTACAATGACCGTACATTGAAGTATGCAACATGCCGAGTGTTTCCGGACTGTTGCTGGCTTAAAGGAAGGCGACAAGCGTCGTAATAGTGAACATGCGACCGCATTGCTGCAGGAACGTGGCCACAAAATACGACTCGCATTGCTGACGATGAGTTGAAATCCCCCTGAGCGATGGCCTATACTGAGTTCTTCATCCGAACAAATGATGCAGCTTATGATGTACGAGCAGCGGCGGCTCCCACCTGATGAAGGAATATCCGATGTATCTCAAGGTGTAGCCGGCGAACGACACAAGGAGGACGTTGATGTGGCCGACCTTCCTGCAGATGGCGTCTGACCACCAGTTGAAGGGCAGCGATGCTAGGCCAGCCACCGTCATGGTCAGACCTGAAACGGAAGGTCAGGTCAGGTCGGCTCAGGCATCGCAGGTCAGAATTCAAGGCCACGCGGCGCCATGCAGAGCGTAATCATGCCACGCCGGGCGCGCTTACGCGACAGGGTCTACCGCAAAACGAGAGAACCAGTAGCACCTGATGCACTGAACCCGGACTCAGAGCGCCCACGACAGAGAAGCGAAGAGGGCGCGACAGCCGAGTGGTTAGCACCTTCGGCTCCCCGCTGGTTTCGGTTTCGAAGCCCGAAAGAGCCCTGGCCTCTGAGCGCTAAGATGACCTCTGCAGTATGACACTCCACAGAAGTTTTTTCCGACGATTGCGCTGCGTTCTCTCCAAAAAGCGACACCGATGCGGCCGCGCAGCGCACTCTGACGTCATCTTCAGCGTAGCTCTTCCCCATTCAGGTCTTGACACTTACACCGTTGGTTTACAAGTGGCGCCGATTCATGAATATTAACAAGCTGGGTGAGGCCAGCTGGCAGTGCTTCGTCGCTCACACCAAATTGGACACTCAAGATTGCACACGACGCTGCTTTGTACAAATGTTCGCACACGTGCTTTCGGTATGAGGTGAAGGTATGGTAGGCAGTTACGGTACATGCAGTATGCAAAGCTACCCATCGCCGCCATCTGGCAACATCGTGCAAAAGCACAAGGTGCTTGGAGGTAATCACCTTTGCGAACAAACGTGACCGAAAACAAGCTCGCAGAAAAAATAGATAAGTTGTGAGCTGTGACCGGTGCAACAAACTTTTGAAGCGACCAGCGGGTAGAAAGACCACCGTACTACGGTCCGTTACATGGTATCTTTGGGATCAGTCCATTATGTCGGTACATCTAAAGATAGTACGTACCCATTAAATACGTTGGTGCCTGGAGACTCTTCAGGAAAACAAAGAGGAAGTTCTCCAAAAATCCCCACATGGATCCCAAAAGGGCGACAGCTAATATGAAAACGAGGGTCTCCGGGCGTTTCAGAATCTGAAACAGGACAACATGTTGATGAGAAGGTTGTCCCAACATGTGGACTGTACACACAACCATTTGGTATGAGGTTCAACGGCTACTTTCATTGCTACCCTGACAAAGGCTGGCATAAACGGGCTTCATGCAGTGAATTAGAGAGAGAGAGAGAGGGAGAAAGAGAGAGAGAGAGAGAGAGAGAGAGAGAGAGAGAAAAAAAGAGAGAGCAAGAGAGAGAGAGAGAGAGAGAGAGAGATCTGCATGTATACATATGTATATATATATGAATCTTTATATATATATATATATATATATATATATATATATATATATATGTGTGTGTGTATATGCATATATGAATTTATATGCATTTATATATATATATATATATATATATATATATATATATATATACACCATTTGGCCGAGGACACCACCTTCAAACCCTCACACACATTCCTGAAGATGAGATTCTATGGCGTGCACATGAACCAGTGTGTGCGCCCTTACATCCAAGATGGGGCACGCGTGAGCACTAGTCTGCAGCCCTAATTTATATGCTCTTACGATCAACTTGGGTCCAACCAGACAGGCATCACCTTCACGTGGGTTCTAATAGCAACGGTCGGGTCAAATACATCGAGATCACCTATACATGCCGTGCCACCGATGCAGCGGCAGCACATACAGATTCTACTTTTCCCCACATTCCAAGGTTGGACAAGTCCAACTCATTGGGAAAGCTGGCCTGAGGTCACTGCGGGCCAACGCTGGGCAGAGGCCACGCCGTTCCACGGATTAGTCTGCCTGGTAACCACTTGTGCCACCCTAGTTTCAATGTCATCGGGGTACAATCTCTTTCGGCGTCATTCCGTATGTCGGCAACACAGAGGAGGTCCAATCCTACCTAACTGCTACTGGAGGGAGTGTGGGGCCGCGAACGTCCGCTCCAGTGAGGGGAACGGTGGCTAGGTCCACGGGCGTGACTGGTAGGTCGTGGTCACAAATTTGCTAGGATGGTGCACATCGGCGTCGTTTTCGGTTTGCTTGACAGTGTGATGATTGAGGTCAGGTCAGGTCAAACTCGGAGGCGAAAAGGCTCGTGGCAGCTTCAGTAGATAGTTATTGGGCATATAGACGTAGACATAAAGACATCAGGCCAACAAAGAGTAACAAAGGCCCATCGAGGTCGACCTAACCCAGGTGCCGCACCCATCCTTGACACTAATCTTACCACCTGACCTGCCTGAATGTAGCTATAGATGAGATCCTTAGGCAGATAGAACCTGTCCAAACGATGTTTAAATGTTGCTAGGGAGGGATTTCCCGCAACTTCGTTTGGCAGTCCGTTCCAATGATTCACTGCTCTTTGACTAAATGACACTTGCCTCTTCATAGTCCTATTCCTACCTTATGCTTATTGAAACTGGCTTCCTCTAAGTCTCGGCATCTTTAACAGTGCTCCTTGTAGATCGACCATGTCTATCCCTCGCATAATCTTGAATACCTGTATTAGATCCCCTAAGTCTATAACATTTCGGTGAACACAAATTCAAGGCCTGAAGCCTTTCCTGATTTTTTAAGTTGCTAAACCTATTTATCATCGTAGCTGTTTTTCACTGCACTCTCTCAAGCCTATCTATATCTCTGTGGAAGCATGGGGATATATACACAATACTCTGGGCGTGGTTTGACATAACCTGAATACAACTTTTGGACAGCATTCCTGCTCTTGTAATGGACATTGCTGTAATAAATCCCAGCATTCAAAGTGCCTTGCTCCTAGCAGCCCCACATGACTTTTTAGCTTTTAGGTCCCTGGAAATTATGACTCCTATCCGTCCTCAATCTGGTCCGACTTTCGGCCTCCCATCCTATAGGTAATATATCTCACTGTTTCGGCCAGGTAATCATAGCTGATTCAATGAGCCATCGCGTTTTCATCTTAGTGAGGCTTGCGCTGACACGTGCATGGCTTAATCTTTAAAACAAGCATATCACTTCTGGCAAGATCAGCCAGGTACCTAATACGAGTGAAGGAGTCAACAGCAACCGGCTCGATACGATTCACGCCAGCGCACCGAAGCGCGTCCGGAACCACGTGTCTGCGTGTAGACTGCCACACTAGGCGATACACTCTCACTACAAGGGTATATCGGGGAGAGCATTTCAAAGTCATTGTGGCACTCATGACGTCATAATAACGTTACACCAATCCTGCCATTTCATAAGTCATGCGTTGATCAAAATAAAAAATAGCATTGTTCAGGCGTTTATACCTAGCGTCAGTGAGCGCGATTTCCATATATAACGGCCGCCAATTTACTCTCAATCAACGTTGTGCAGGGCATGATGAAGTGCTCAAACTATGACGCATTGAGGAGCATATTTACTGGACAAGAACTGTGCTGTCTAGACCAGTGCTTTCCACTTTAAAAACGTACCAGTAGTTATAAATGAGCTTGTTTCGTCATATCTCATGCTTTAATATCTTCAAACGCGAACCATTCCTTTTAGCTCACCCCACTAGAAATACCACCCAGTGTAACCTCATCAGTGTTTCAGCCCCAGCATACCTTGGTGACTTGACGGAAGTGGGCCTTTTCCGGCAGCGCCACCTTTAAGTTGCAGGCGTACAGAGTGACGACGGTGAAGACAACGAACAGGTCCATGGAGTAGAAGGCTGGGCCGTAATTCGTCTTGCCTGGAATCAACCATGTAGACAGCTCATCAGTGCATGGCAGAAACGTTGCAAGAGAACGTTGAGCACAAGTGATACAGATGCCAACGAAAGTAAAGGATTTCAGACCACTCAGACAAATGGATCTGGGCATAGCTGTGAGTCACGGTTTACGTGCAAATGTTCTTGCACAGCTGATTGGCATCTTAAAATTGATAAGGCTGATTTCGGGTAGGCGGTAAAAGTTGTCTTGTCCAAGTTTTGTATAAACCATACACCGGTAACAAACACCAAAGCAAGAGTTCAGCCTCAGGACATGGGTCCTTAGTCCGGGCGTACGTAGCCAGCCTGTTCATCAGGACCGCAACCTCTTCAGGTGCCAGCCTGTCCAGGTTTCCAGCTTGCATAACCATCCCTGTCCCGCCCAGCAGTTCCCAGTCTGGACAGCAGTCCCTAGCATGGACAGCATTCTTCAGCCTAGGCGTTGCTCCCTCCCCCCCCCCCCCCCCCCCAGCACGGACAGCAGTCCCCAGCATGGACAGTGCTCCCCAGCCTGAACATTGGTCCCAGCGTGGACGGTGGTCCCCAGCCTGGACATTGGTCCCAGCATATGGACAGTGCTCCCCAGCTGGACATTGGTCCCAGCGTGGACGGCGGTCCCCAGCGTGGACAGTGCTCCCCAGCCTGGACATTGGTCCAGCGTGGAAGGTGGTCCCCAGCGTAGGACAGTGGGCTCCACCAGTCTGGACATTGGTCCCAGCGTGGACGGATGGGCGCCCAGCGTGGACAGTGCTCCCAGCCTGGACATTGGTCCCAGCGTGGACGGTGTCCCCCAGCCTGGACATTGGTCATAGCGTGGACGGTGGTCCCCAGCGTGGACAGTGGTCCCCAGCCTGGACATTGGTACCCAGCGTGGACAGTGGTCCCCAGCCTGGACATTGGTCCCAGCGTGGACAGTGCTCCCCAGCCTGGACATTGGTCCCAGCGTGGACGGTGGTCTCCAGCATAGATAGTGGTCCTCAGCATTGACAATGGTGCACAGCCTGAATAACAGCCCCTCAGCACGAGCAGTGGCTCCCATTATCCCCTTTGCATAAGGTACTAGGCGGTTATACAAATTGCTGCGAATGGCAAAACTCTAAGGCGTATCAAACTGTGGCGAAACTCGTGCTATCACAACCACAATTAAGCACAGCTAGGGTACTGGAGGCCGTCTTTGCGCTTTTCACGTAACTGTTTATTCTACTGGCACCTGATGTCTCGCCGCATTCCCACAGGCACCTAATCCTACAGTGCATGATTAGGTGCCTACAGTCATACAAAGCTGGATAAACAGGGATGCAGCCATAGTTTGCCGCCAGACCTTGCAAAGTACCGGTTAAGTTTATTGTTGAGACAAGTTTATTTCGTCTCATGTACCGTTTCGTCATTTGTTTGCGATTGAGCATTTGGTCCCATGAAACCAATCATACAATACAAGAACGGGTCTGGCGTTGAAGCTTATGGTCATTTTGATAGCCCAAACGATAAACCATTGGTGCCGCTCATGCGTACTCCATTATTCGAGAACTTCGGAGTTGCTACCAACTTACATTCCTGTATTGGTACGAATGGAAATTGATTTGGTACCAATTACATCCCAATTAAATTTGGTAAAAATTGCCATGTCTAATCAACATGGGTGTTTTACAATTGCATGAGATTTTAAACGTAAATGACAGCTTGAAGATCATTCAGTGTAGTTGACAGTTCTGTCCTCCGTAAGACCTAGACCACACTAGTTTCTGAGCTACGCACCCGCGAAGATGTGCTGCCTATTTCGTGCAGACCATTTCAATGCCATCTAGGCATGCATTACGTCACAGAAACGTCATTCAAATCATATCATCCCACTGGCCATGCCAGATTCAAGGACAAGAAGAATGTAATCGTCCAGTCGCTCACATCTAACATTCGCGAACACGATTTCTAGACATAACGAGCATCAATTGCCTGTCAGTCAATGTAGTGCAAGCTGTGCGAGGTTCAAACACGAATCATGTTTTTTGTTACATGGGACAAAAAGCTGGACATGGCTGCCAGTCAATACGGCAATAAGACTTGCAATCGAATAACTCAAGAATGCCGTCATAACAGAGTATGTGAATGCAAGTAAAACGCCTTGAAATTATGGATAAATGTGCAGCAATACCACGAGAAAGGGCCAAAACACTAGAGCAATATTTTCCAACACTAGGGCGATAGTATATCAATAGTTTACAAGTAAACTCATTTCATCAAACTTGCTGCTTGTTTCGATAACTTCAAATCATTCTCTTTCACATTGCTGGGTTCAAAAGAGACTGTCGATTTCGGCCAACACGTTCGTGGAAGATACAGCCGCTTGGCCACAGCCCAGTTCATTTGCTGTGCGTGGACAGGTCACACTTCTTTATAAACCAATTCGGCCGGTTTTTTACGACTAGTTTACAAACTTCTTATACTTAAAGCCTTGTGGAGGATATATTTTATGTTTCATGTTGGTCCAAAACGGCACAGGGGGGTGGGGGCATAAAATAACCTGGGAAGTGGAAATAGGAGTGAATCTAGGGGAGTAGAGGTGCACAAGCCCGCGAATTTGGCGGACGTTTTTCAAACGCAGCGCACAGAATGCTTGAAAACCTAACCAACCAGCATAGCAAAATGCTTCGATGCTTACCATGCCACAAATTGTTATGGTGTAAGTGTTGCGGTGCATAGTGTGTCGCTTCAGCTTTATCGATGGCAAAACGAGTTTGAAGCCTGTGACCGTGTGAGAAGGAAGATGGTGGCTCCATCAAAGAGGTACGCACGATGTGACTATAAAGGTAGCAAGTTTCAAGGTTGGACTTTGGAACTATAAACGGTATATGACATATTTACATAGTGGCGGAGCCGTCGTTCTTTTAAATGCTGCTTTTGGAATTGGTGGCAGGTGGCGCACCTAGGTGCAAGCCACTGCTAGTGAGTCATGAATTATCAATCATTTTAGATGCACTAACATTTCGGAAAGCGGCGCTGGTGGGCGCGATCTGTGGCTACTGGGCGGCCTAGTTGGGCACTTTGTGTTGCCTCGCTTGTTATGAGCACATGAGCAAATGTTTTGACGTCGAATAACTTGCGCCATGAATGAGCCTGGCGTGTGGTTTCAATCGGCATGGTTGTGCTCCGTACGTTAGGCTTGAAGATAGCTAGTTATATTTTTAGGAAGGTATATGATTTAGAATATGTCATAGGCTTAGAAAATATGACATCTTTAGAATGTGTTAATCTATTCGGCTGTGTTATCACCATATCTTAGTCTAAGATCAGATAGCAAATTGAGAAAAGCTTCAGTGAGCTATCCTGATCTTTTTTGCATTCTTCCTTTGCATTCAGATGATAAGACCGCTAAAATGCACACCCGCGTTGTTAGCACTTCTTGAAAATGATGAGAAAAGATACACGAGACGCACGGAGACAATGGCTATTGTTGAATCTTGCTTTGAATGACACAAATAATGGTGAGACAGATGGCTAATCGCGGGTTTCTTGAAGGAGAGAGCTCGGGGAGCTTGTGCACCTCTGTAGGAGAAGTAAGAGACTCAAGATTTGTGGAATAAACACAATAAGCGTCTCACAGACCATCCCGATGTCAAGAACTAAAATATAACGGACTCGGGAGATCCCTACGCTATTTGTCTTGTGCATAAGGGTGTAGACATGTGATTATGCGCTCGTTTTGGTTGCCCTTGACTATGAGGGTTGCGCAGAGATGCTGCAGAGCACACTTCAATCTCATGCCGTTTGTCCACCAACCAATGACATTGGCGCGCGCACGGCACACGCATCGTTTGGACAGTGCCTAGATTTCGTGCCAAACTGCCATATTTGCCACTGCAGTGCGATCGCTATGGAGACAGCGATCTCGGTGCTGTCATATTGAAGGCCTCTACAGCCCTGAGATGTTTACACGGTGCGGATTGGTTGACGGATGTGGCGTGTAATGTAACCTCAACGCTAAATGGCTGCCTTAGATGCAGTATCGTGTAGGGCGTGCGGACGTATTATTTTCAGATCCCGAAACTTGCAGAGCTCGCGCGAAGCGGCCGTACGCCTGTGTGTGTGCAGCGGATATATTCGATTGTAAATGCCAGTAGTAGGCTGAGCTGTTGCTACGAAGGTGCTGCTAAGCTAAAGGCATCTGCAAACGACGTGGTAAGTTGAAGCTTTGCGATTTATGGGCCCATCATTCCGTTCAAAACACTCTAACGCCGGTCAAAGGGCATGCTTAGTTTGATTTAGTTTCGCGTCAAACTAGCAACATTTACCATATGCCGTCCAAACGGGATTAAGTGACAGCTTACCAGGCGTGCTGACTAAGTCGATGATGACACCGACGAGTGGCGGAACGATGATGGTGGCAGCAATTGCCGTCACGCGCTGGCGGCCAAAGTTCTGCCCTGGCGTCTTGTGCTGCCTCACCAACGCGAGGTTAGTTGCGTCCAGCAGCGTGAAGGACGGCGCCATGAAGAACACGCCCACCATCCGCAGTGCGAAGTACACCCAGAACGTGGTCCGGCTGGAGGCTGGCAGGCCGGCGCTGGGCTGGCACTCGAGCTGGCACTGCGGCGGGCAGCGCAGTGCCGCCAGCGTCGGCAGCGCCAGCTCCGAGCCGTTGCCGGTGAGACGTGCCGGCAGCAGGCAGCCGTCGCCGTCGAGCGGCAGGCTGAGCGCGCGCCGGGCGCCGCCGTCTGGCAGGCGTCGCCGGCGCACGCCTGCAGCGCCGCCTCGCCGTCCGGACAGATGAGGCGGCAGTCCTGGCTGCGTGACAGACTTCCGCAGTTCGGCGGCGGCCAGTCGGCACAGCCCAGTGTGCTCTGGTTGGGTGAGGCGGCTAGCGCGCGCGGCGTCGTCAGTGGGCTCGGCGGCACGAAGAGGAGCGCCTGGTGGACTACGCATTGTAGGATAACGCAGACTACGTAAAGCTCCCGGATTCGCCCCGTCCGGTCAGCCATATACCCTGCGCACACAGGGACAGCGCAGATCAGCGGCGACGCATTCAGGTCAGCGGCGGCACACACAGGCAGCACAGATCAGCAGCGGCGCACAACGACAACACAGGTCAGCAGCGGCGCGCACAGAGACAGCACAGATCAATAGTGACGCGCACAGACAGCGCAGATCATCATCAGCGTACACAGATACAGCACAGGTCAGCAGCGGCGCAAACAGGGACAGCACAGGTCAGCAGCAGCACAAACGGAGACAGCAAAGGTCAGCGGCGGCGCACACAGACAGCACAGATCAGCAACGGCGTACACAGACAGCACAGATTAGCATCGGCGCACACAGATGAAGCACAGATCAGCAGCGACACACACAGGCAGCACAGACCAGAAGCGGCGCACACAGAGACAGCGCAGATCAGCAGCGGCGCAAACAGGGACAGCGCAGGTAAGCAGCGACACACACAGAGGCGGCACAGGTCAGCAGCGGCGCACACAGAGGCGGCGCAGGTCGGCAGAGTCGCACACAGAGGCAGCATAGGTCAGTAGCAGCACACAGGGATATCACAGGTCAGCAGCGGCGCACACAGACAGCACAGATCACCAGCGGACACACAGGGGCAGCACAGGTCAGCAGCGGCATGCACAGAGACAGCGCAGGTCAGCAGCGGCGCACACAGGGACAGCGGTGAATCAGAGGGACTCAGCATTGTCAAACGCATGCACACGCGCTCCGGTAAAGCGAGAGAATGCATATAATATTACATAGCACGCTGAGCGTTCTTGAGACGGCCAAGGCATTTCAAATTCGACGGTAGACTGGCTAGCAGTATCTGAGAGGCAAAAAATGTTTCTTGGCAGAGCAAAGGCCAACGGACAGGTGCTGACGTGCAAAAGAAACGGGGCTTTTAACCCAATTGGATGCGTTGTGCTCATACGTGACTAGGGTTGCACTGTGATCGGGCCCCAGGCGTGGAAGCAGTTTAGCTATCCCTCCGCGAGGACAGCTTATCTTCTCGTCTACTTGCCAACCGTACACCTAACTCTCGTCGATAATTGCTCGACCGATTTTGTTCTATCTTCTCCTGATTCACCTTTCACCGAGCATTTCCCG